AAGAGTAAAAGCTCTGAACGATCCTAGCAAAACAGCTGAGCTAGCCAAACTATTTCGTGCCGGGGGTTCGCGTTGCAGCATCAATTTCATTTTTATCACCACGCCTGATGGAATATACTACGACGCACCAGGTGACATCTGCGAAGCTTTCAGTGCTTATTTTGCCGAATCAATTATCAATGAATCATGTGACATTCCAACACTTCTCATGCCGCACAACATTGAAGGTTTTTGCACAGTGGAATTCACTATAGAGAAAATCACTGGTCAAGTCGTTCGCTTATAGACCTCAACGTGTGCAGGCCCTGATGGGATCCCCTTGTTTAATAAAAAGCAGTGGTAATGACTTCCTTCTGCTTTTGCTCAACATCTTTACACTCTCTTAGAACAACGGAGTATACCCTACTCAATAGAAAGCTTCTGTCGTAATACCGCGACATAAAAATGACGCTGCCCACAAGATTACAAACTTTCGTCCCAACAATCACTCACCCATCGTATCTAGAATAATGGAAAGGATAGTGAAAGATGAACTATTTATATTCTTGAACAACGCTAACATCATCAGCAATTCGCAACACGGTTTCATGCAAGGTCGATTCAGCGCAACGTACCAGACTGAATTTTTAAACCACACAATGGCTGCCATTGACAACGGAAACAGTGTCGTAATCCTGTTCTTGGATATACAAATAGCCTTTGATAGGACGCCTCAAAGATACTTACTAAACAAACTGAAGGCTATAGGCATTGGAGAATCGATGTTCTCTTGGCTGTCTTCATATCTAATTGGTAGACAGTAGGTGGTGCGCATAGGCGACTATTCATCTAAACCGAAAGCAATCACTATTGGAGTGATTCAAGGGAGTGTACTCGGTGTTCTTCTTTTTCTAATTTATATTAACGATATATCCCAGCGAATAAGAAATGGTGTTACTTTTACCTTTGCTGATGACATTAAAGTTGTCTACTCACAACCACCTGTAAATACTCAGGAAGCCATACATCTCATTCAGGATGACCTATCTGCCTTTGACTCCTGATGCTAACTGTAGAAGATATCATTTGCCGTGGATAAGTGTAATATTTTGTCGTACAAATGCAAAGTACCGTCAAACAGTTTATTACTACAAGGCGCATATATCTCGCAATGCAGGGCAGTTCGTGACTTGGGAGTGTGATATTCAGTCACGTCTAACTTTTCTGAACACTGTGACTTCAAGTTTCGAAAGAAATGAAGACCATCGGTTACATGTGCCATAATTTTCACCTCACGGATTCTCGCATATGGCTTTACAAAACATTTGTATTGCCGTGTATGAACTACTGTTCAATGGTTCAGTCTAATCTACGGAAATCTGACCAGCACGCTCTTGAGAGGGTCTAGAGAAGCTTCACGAGAAAGCTATGTGGATATTCCTCAAAGCTGACCTACAGAGAGCGATGTGCTAAACTTGGATTTGACCCAGTTTGGCTTCGGATGGTGAAGCTGAATCTATGTTATCATTACGGAATCAGAAATTGTCCAATTCGTAGTCTTGATAACGGTGTTCACATACCTTTAAATAGTAGCTATTCACTACGTAACAAAGAAATAAACATCATGATTCCAAAATTTACTACGAGAATCAGAGAACGTTTTTTTCTGACCCCGTACTCAAAGATTTGGAACAAACTTTCAAGTGATATCAAAAAATGGTTTACACTTGGCAATTTTAAGTTTGCGATTAGTAAGCATTTAAACGTCCAAAACGTGATTAAGATGTTTGGGACATCACAGTCCCTAGGTAACACATTCGTAAACGGTATCCGTGGTGCCTGAATAAATTTTCGAAACACACATACAAAATATTCCGGATAGCAGCCCTTTCATAACATTTTTCTCGGCCCAAATATCTGCCATGTGATTGTGAAGAATACTGATTCATTGACAAGAAAAAAATAGCAGTACGATGCTGATTACGCTGGGTTACCGAATTTGCAATTGCGAACACGTTTGTTTCTGAAAATGTATTAATGCAATGTCATGGAAGGTTGTGTCATTATTTGCTCTTGTCTTTTTAGGGAATAGTCTCTCGCATCGGTGAGGAATATACACTTTAATTATTTGTTTATTAAGATGTAGAAGAAATCTCTTTCATATTACATTCTCGGCCATCGTTAGTACTTCGCTCATGTCGATCCAAATCAATTGTTTGTCATCCTTCAGTTCGCCTCTGCAACGATCGACCAACTTTCAGGTTGTTGACCCAAAATCCTTAGGTTCGATCGTTCGATAAACAAGCGGCATGCTCAGTTTGACATCCTACCAACACATCCTTCCTTTTTTTGTTTTTGTGCGTTGGAGTTTCCATATTCTCACCCCCTGCGGATGAGCTTTCGGTTTAATTTACGCTTGAATGGAAACTGCACCGGGTTGTTGCCGAATTCTCTAGGGGTATTTACTACAAGTAGCGTTATCTAAGGGTCCTCAGGCGTCTTTCTGAATTGGATAAGTCGATTCTTTGCCTTCTTGATAACCTTCATCACAGTCTTCCCTTTTGGCTGTATCATCAAATTGTTCCACCCTTTGTGACAACTCCGTGTTACACTGCACTTCACTCCGATGCAGTGTTTCTCGAACAGTGTACTCACGTTGGCTCTGAAGTCAAGTCTAAATTGGACTGATTGTACTTGAATTGACGGTGACGTAATAATCCAAACATGAGCTTCGTGATCCCACCAGTTATTTATTGAAATGTCCTACTTTTCTTGCCCACCTTTAATATTAAATGAGCTAACGTTAGCTGATCGGCAGCAGCAAGCGAATAGGTTAGATAGGCTCTCACCATAAATATCAAATCTCTCGATTATTTCTGAAAAATTCAATTCTTGGTCGTAATTGCAAAGTTCCAGGCTTTTAATATCCGTTTCGCATCTTCGCCGATGCAGTACCTGAACATCGCTAATTGATATGACCACGGGTATTCAGCTGACGCGATCAGCGTAACGAAATCCATCCATTTCGCTCTCCACGCCCTCTAGCTATCCGGTAATATGCTTTCTGTCATTCGCAGAAGATGCGCAATGGAATCAACGTTTGCGCATCTAGTGCGAGCGGGGTTTGGTACCTCAGCGCCTCTGACAACATGTCAAGTGGCCCTCCGTGAATCAAAATGTCAAAGTTTGGGCCTTAATCCGAATTCCAGTATTCATAGAACACAGGCTCCCTTTACATCTCGAGTCAATGAGAACCACTCGCCAATGAAGAACAAATCTCCTTCCTATTACTTTCTTGTTCAGCGTTCGAGTTACGTTCATGCCGATCCAAATCGATTGCTTGCGATCCTTCTGTTTGCGTCTTCAACGATCGACCAGCTTTCAGATTGTTGGCCCAAAATGGTTAAGTTTGATCGTTCGATAAACAAACGGCAAGCTCAGTTTGGCATCTTAGCACCACAACTTCCACATGGGTAACAGGTAAAAGGTAATTCTGACCATTCCGAAGTAACAAATTTTCGGTCAATTGCTTGGATTGTATATGTACGAGGTTGCGAGGAAAATGTCGCTAAATCTTTATGGACATATTCCAGTAGCTGAACGATATTACACGCCTTCTCCCAGCTCATCATCGTCTCAAATTCCGACAATAGCATTTCAAGAGCCTGTTCGTTACGGATACCGGAGATAAAGCACTGTAATTTCATCGCTTCTTCGAATTTGTAGCTTGGATTTCACTATACCGACACTCTGGTAGGACTTTGTTAATTTGCACAATGTAATCAACGACACTTTCTCAGGTTTTTGACGCAATGTCGAGAAAAAAAATACCGCGTAGTATATCTATTCAGTCGTGAACTTCATAACCCGCTGAGAACTTCTAGCGCGCTGTTAACTGTTGGCTTCTCACCGACATGGAGGGTATCGAAATGTCTTTGTCATTCATCCTCCAGAAATTATCTCCGTAATTTAATTCTTGTGCTATCTGAGAGTACCTAATGTGGTGGCAAGACGCGTAGTAACCAGAAATAATCCAAAAAAGTGCTCTTCCAGCGATTCCAGATAGCCGGTGTTGATTTCGCAGAAGGAATATACCAAAGTAGTGTGGAAATGTGCAACATCGCAGTAGTTTAACCTCGTCGCCAGAAGGTTGTGTGTGGCTCTTAGCCGATGTACGGAACAGAATGCGCAAGCATCGTATGGAACCGTCTAACGAAAGCTTCCTACGTTAGAGTAGCTAAAATACCTGGAAAGAAAAACTAAGATACTAAATAAGGTAAGGCAGGGTAATTGTCAACCAATCATGTGAGTGTCTTTGTTCACGAAGCAATGTTCAAGAGCATACGTGACAAGTGGGAACTTGCCGATAGGCTGAATTTGATGGTGTTATCCATAATCGTGCCGCAACTGAAACACGAAAATTGTGTTACTGAACTTTGTACACGAATATTGTAGCTACACAAATGCAGTACGCTTTAATTAGATCTTTGATTGTTGGTTTATGATACCAAATATTGTAGAACGCTTCGCAGATGTGAGGGTTTACGGATTTACAGACGCCAAGGAGAGGGCGTAAATCTCATGGCCGCCCCGGGCATCTAAAGCAGTTGTAACGACACTGAATCAGCTCCACTCTGACAACGTTTTCTACCCGGTGAGGAGACAGTCTAGACGACGATGGAACCATTGGTGGAATAAGTGTATGGAGTGAGTATCATCGAATACCCTCCACTTAGTATTCCGAATTGGTCATCAGCCACAGTGTCAGAGAAGTGTATTAGAGTGTCCAGTTCGAGAGAAATGATATTAAGTAGGGGGTTTATCGGGAGTACGACAACGAATTGGGGATACCCACGCAGCCATGGACTGCATGTTAGCAATGCATATTCACATAACGTGCTGCAAAGACAAATTTAATATTGCAATGAGTAAGCATATGCAAACACCGCAGGAAACCGCATGTCAAATTTAATGTGGACTAAATACTACGGTGAATTATTCAAGAAGCAAAACACTGCTCTCGTTGGTTGTCAGTTTGTATTTCGGAAGCAAGGGAACTCGAAGCGTCCACTTACTTGTAAGTAGTTACAGGGGTACATTTGTTGTACAAAAGACATCTGTCTTTCTAATGTTTTTGTCGTAAATACAAAAGAAAGGAGTGCAGAATAATGGATGCCACCCACGTCTGAGATAAGCATTAAAAAATAAGGTTTCCGTTGTGAATGAAGGCGCTTTCGTGGTGAATTGTTTCAAAGAAGACCATATCGTTCGAGGTGGTCTTCGAGTAGAAACCTGTGGCAACCTTCCAAAACGTTTCGGATACTGTCCGTATCCACTGCGCAAGTGTAGTAAAAAAGACACTGGCGGCGCATCGTTTGCTCTGACTTTGGCAGAACAGGAACTTTCGTCAAATTCTGGTAAATAGAAGAGGAGAGCAACCCGTCATAAAATACAGTGTGCAAGATCAGCGCCACTTTATTTCTTTTTTATTTGAAGACTTATTTTGGAACTGTTGATCAAAGCCTTTCCAGTAGGTTGATAGGTTTATGAGAAAGTGTGTGAGTGACGTTGAGGAATACCAAACTGAAACTTACAAAGCATGCTTTTCACTCTACTGATCGCTCATGTTAATCGTTCCGCAAAATAATAAACAAAATCGCATGCCACACATACATGCTTGGTGTGGTAAGTGCCGTAAGACGTACGTCTGAAATCGATGCAACTTATTAAGTCACATGGCTACGCGGAGGCTATACATGCAAAGAGATGGACGACTCTGAATCAGTAGAATGTTAACTGAAACCACCCAACTTAAATGCGCAGTGCGGACGTTGCAGAAAATTGAGGAGCATGTGTCTCTCTGAACTTCACTGGTAATTGCAAATGAGATTTCTTTCACAGTAAACCAATTAGTAAGGCACCGCTGCTTGATAAATGGATGTGGCTGGCCGTTGGTATAAACCCAAAGTCAAAGTTTACGTTTGATGATATAGAAGGAGTATCGCACTAATCTCAACATGAAATACATCTATCCCAGCCAAACAGATGGTGATTCATTGAAACAAGACTTGACATTGTGTGCTGGTTTGCCTGTTTCAATGCTCCATTGGATTATGCCGAGTGGTACTTTTTGCACCTTCAGAGCCACTCATGCAGACAAAGAGTCTTATGGCCCTCCAGGATGGTGGTTGAAGTGAGGTTGGCTCCTTACTCTATAAAACCGACTTTCTGACACATTGGTTCAAAAACCCGCTGCCTAGCGGTCGGATTTTAGAAATAACCGCTTTGGCTGAGAAAACTAATTGTTCTCCTAGCTAGAGTTGGGCAACCTGACAGTGTCTTTCCAACGCCGTAAACACCATGCTTTTTCCTTCTAACCATCTTCTGATGCTCTGGCCGTCGCAGAGGTGAATCAACGGCGCCTTATTTGCTACATCATGCGGGGTGGATATAGGTGAGGATTTTACTGCTCAAGCCTTCCCGTTTTCTAACTCTTCCCATCTCGCGCTTTTTCATCCTTTTCGTCCCCTAGTTTTCAACCCGCGATACTTGTCCCTCGCGAAACTTGCTTTGATAAGCCTTTGTCTTCTAGTTTCTGGCTACGCACAATCGCAGGGCCTCGCTCCAGTCCAGTTGACAAGTTCATGTCCAGCTAAACGGACAACATCAGTTTACCTGTTTCGTTTTGGAACCCATGATGCTCCCTAAGCCTGGCGTATGTCAGTGTGCGCACCTTGTTTCAGAGTTGCAAACTGGCGTCACTTGTCAGACCACTGGGAACCAGATCTTTAGAGATTTGCTGTTTATCGGAAACCTACCAGCAAACCTGCGGCGCTGTGATTCTCATGCGATTCCCTATTTGCAAAACCAGCGACGTTTTCTTATTGCGCTGGTCCTAAAATGGCGCAGTTCTAAATGCAGGTCAAGTCGGATAAGGCATTGCTTTGGGCCCTCGGACTGAAACCGCCCTGATCGACTGGATTCACATCAACTGCTGAGGGTGTGCTTTTAAATTAACTAGCTCGTGCGAAGTTTTGGAGTGGAGCGGAAGCTATTGGCGCTTGTCAATCATTGCTGCTTATGCTCCCACAAGTTGTAGCTTTTATTCAGTACAGGAGGACTTCTACCATAAATTGAACGCGCTATTTCGTTACATAAAAGTAAGGATACGTTCGTGTTTGTCGGTAGCTTGAAAGCCAGTGTTGGAGAACTGATGTTTTTATCTGGGCTGTCAACACAGTGTATGCCTTCGCAATGAAAACTGTGTGCGGTTGCAACATCTTTGGGAAGATGCTCGTCTATTTCTCGTGAGCACCAGTTTTCGACACAGCACCCATCCACTTCGGACTAGCCATAGACGCAAATCGATTACAATGCGGTTACTTACCGCTGCAGAGGATGCAGCAAAAGCTTCTTCTCAAGTTGGAGCATGAGCGTGCACTCCAACCATGCACCGACCTGCAGGTGCGATTTGGCGGAGGTTGGCAACGACGCTGTGGGCGCATAGGTACTTGTCAACCGGCGAAGCCAGGTGTTCAAAATGAGTACAAGTGTACGCTGGCATCCGGCCTGAGTAAGCTCCCACAGAACACAGTTAAATATCACTAGTCGCATATCTGCCACGCGTTATTAGCATCAGAAGTGTCTTCATGTAGCGTATCAAGTGGCCCATCTGAACATTGGGTCTCTAGGCATTCTGTAGAACCTCTAGTGGCCAGCTGACGCGTTTCTTCTGGAAGCAAACACAATGAGGCTTGCAAAGATCTCAGGACAAAGCTGTGTGGTAGCCTGAAGAGGGACTGCAAAGTCTAGTGGTCTTATCGTGCGTGTAAAATGTAAACAGTCGTTGACCTTGGCAACCTGATACGGGAAACTTGCAGCATTGGACCTGGAGTTTGTGATACCATACACGACTGGACTTGGCAGCTGATCCCAGCTTCTCGAAACACTTGAAGCGTTTGGCTGGACACTTTGAAACTCATCTTTATCAGCCAGATTCACCAGTTTTCTTCTCAGTTATTGATTGCCCTTCTTGCTGGGTAGTTCCCCTGGATCTACCTTTACACGCAGAAATCGAAAGTGCGATCAGAAGCCTGAGGTTGAATGAGGCCGCAGGAGCAGATAGACTCTCCAGACCTCTTCGACTCCGAAAGACTTGATCTTATAAATGATTCGTACAATTTAGTAGTAGTAGAAGGTGACTGCCCCAACAGACTAGAACTGCTTGGCTATGGTTCCAATTTGCAAAAAGGCATCCCGTTCGGAACACCGCAATCATAAATACTCGGTCCGATGTCAATTGCCTCTAGTTTACTTACATCTCTCGTCCTCCATAGACTCTCTGGCACCCATTAAAGCCAGATTTGCCAGCTGCAATCTCCTTTTGGTCGAAATCGATACTGTATTGACCACCTCTTCACGGTGCGTCAGTTGTTAAAACACAGCCTTATGTATTGGCCACCCGCGGTAGTCGTGTTGCACGACGTCCAATGTGCCTTTGATTTGTTGCATCAGTGTGTCCCTTTGGACTAGACACTCAAGACATGTGTGCCCGAAAGATACCTGCACAATATGAAGGTGCAGTTCGCGCATAATTCGGGCAGAGTGATTGCTCATGGCGAACCGTAGTCGCACATTAGGATTCCCAGGGGTGGGAGACAAAATTGCCAGCTGTCACCATTCCTTTTTAGCTTCACCATTGACGAAGTTATAGAAACTGCGTTTAATTGATACGACTTGAAATGTGTGGGACTACTACAAGTTGATCAAACACTTGACTTGGATTACGCCGACGACATTGCTCTTCTATGTAACAGCTTCCAAACGTCCCAGTCAGCACTGGACGTCAATCGTTTCGGGCTATGCATTGTTTTATGCAGCCAAATGAAGCAAAGACTCCCGCGCAGCGTTTTAGTACTACGCGTTGCCAACTGCGGAAACGGACTTCTCACAGGACGCATGAAGCTCCGACCAAGTATGGAACACAGCGGTGATGTGAGTGGCTGGCAAACGTGCGTGGGAGTCTACTGCGTGAACGATGGTTGTGCTTCGGAAAGAAGAAAACGATTGAAAATGACAAATCAGTCCAGCTGAATGCGTCCATATAGGTGGAGATCAGGAAGCCGAAGACGCGGGAATCGTGCTTCCTGTTAGTAGAACGTGTAATTAAACATTAAACAGGGCACTGTTCTAATATATTACACACAGTCTAAAAAACCTTGCCTTTTGCATTTCAAGGTTAGATTGGACGTCAAGCAGCGCAGACCGTAGACAGCAGTACCGCAGGCGAAGCAATACAATGTACGTTTAAAAGGTACATTCATTTTCTACGATTAGCAGGAACCCACCCCTGCACTGAACCTTGGCAGTGATCAGTTGGAAGTCGTCCAGAAATGTAGGTATCGCAACAGCTATATTAGCACATGTGGAAAGGAAGATGAGATCATAAACCGTTCAATGAAATATCAGGACGCTTTTGCAAATCCCCGCTACAAACGGAACCAGCAAGAGGTCGCCTTCGCCCTGAAGGCCAGTGTTGACTATGCAGCAATCCGTTCGATCGTCTTTGTCTTCGAGCCTTAGATCATACTCATTAGGAACACCGCGTGAGCAATGAACGTGTTCGGTGTCGTGTACTTGGTGTAAGAAGAGGGAGGGAACCGCTCAACACCGGTATCTCATGCACAAGGCTCCAATGGCTGGGCCACGTGTTGCGCCTGCCAACACCGACTCCCGTGTCGTGTATTGTTCGCGCGCCGCGGGTGTGGATGAGCGAAGAAGAGGGGAGATCAATCAATGACTTGGTCAAGAAGAGTGCAAACTCTCATTTGGAAGTTGAGGTTAGTTAGTTTCTTCCGAGTGCCGAGTTGGGGTCCGATAAACGATGAACATGTTTGGTTGAATACTCTTAATGACATAGCGAAGAGTTTACCTCAGTGGCATTTGTTTTGTGGGTTTCTTTGTCCTCCCCTCTCGCTTATCTTTCCCTTCCAAGCACTCTTTTACACGTGATGCATAATAGGATCTTACGCAGCAAAATAATTAGTTTTATTTTGTATTCTGTAATATTTTTTATCAGAATTTTTATATACCTTATCTTTTTATATTGAGTTGACTTATCTATGGTGTGTTTCTCACCTTCAGTTAAGTGTGATGACGATGAAACAGATGTCTATAACATAAAAGCATCTGCTTTTACCGCTCATATGACAATACGACAGAAAAGCACATGTTTTGCAGAAATGTGAAAGCCGCGCACAAGCCCACAATAGTCGGCTGTTAAAGGACATACAGTAGGCAAACTTTTTAGCAGTACTGATTAAACGATTGCCCTTAGAGAGTGTTGGTTCGTCACAGCAGAACATAGATGTGTCACTAAAGTGCACAAGCTTGCACGTTGACTTCACAGTTTGATGGACGCTTCAATTGCGCGACGTTCTGTGATCATCTACGTAGGTCTAGCTGCTCGTTCTTGAGTTTGTCCACTGACTCTAACTAGCTGAAAATCACGAACAGCACAATCTACATTAGCAGCAAACTGTTGTTAATGTTCGGTTGACCGGCTTGTATGCTTGGAATAACTGCCTAGTTTCACTTAGGAGTCACGGCAGGTCGTTAGTTTACCTGCGTCGATTCACTCTAGTGTAACTAAAGCAAGCCATCCAATGTATTGTTCACAATCTTATACTATGTAATAGCGCTTACTCGTCTCCTTTAAATTAACCTCTTTTAATATTTTACGTGTGGTTGGAAAAGCGAGTAAGCACTACATAGTTAATGAATGTAAGCACTCACGTTTAGGAGGTGTTTAATATAGCATGCTGTTCTGATGGTTTCTGGATGTGGAGGACGCAGTTCCAATAGACCATCTTCTCCATTTAAAACACTTGTATTGTGTTCAATATATTGAATAGACCTTTGAAATTCCTTCTGTTCCTTCGCTGCAATTCAACATGATGTATAGGTTAACTTAGTTACGCAAACCTTGGGTTTCTTTAGCTATGGCTAAAGTAGGTCTCATTAACATTGACCTGTTGTATAATCTGAATGCTTTCTTATGTAACTGCGGACGTGCTAAACGGTTAATTTGATGTATTGACCTCACTAAAAAGTTAAACGTCTGGTATCCTGTGCCTACTTGACTCTTCCGCAAAACGATCTCCAACTTTCTCGCAACGTATATGCTATTTGCAATGTTATTAAACAATTCCTTCGAGGTTCCCATGACACTTGGGCCACTTGTTTATGATGTTAGTAAGTTACTTTAACTGTAACTGTAATTTACTAAATTTTCCCACGCTAATCTCTAATAATGGACCGCTGAAAGCTGAGAAGCACGGTTGATCGGCTTCACCCAACTATCATTTTGAGACGTCACAGCGCCCGCACAGATCTAATAACCCCTGATCCTTGTCACTTAAGCTACACAAGCCCTAACTAAGTCTTTTAGGTCATTGCACAAACAAAATATACTTTAGGAAGTATTTTAGTCCATCATCTGAGTACTTCTACACTGTTTGACCAATTGGAAAGACAATCCATGTACACTCACCACAGTATGCAATCGTTTATCGTATATTCTCTGAGTCTATCGGGAGGGATCTCTTGATGATGTGGAACGCGCAACAACACAAACAATCGGGCAGTAATTCCATCACACTTAACCAGACGGCAGTAACAGCAGCTGTAATGACCAAGTTAGGTTTGTTTGTGGCTTACGAACGGCATACGAACTGCCCAGCTAAGTAACCGTGAGCTTCTCCAATTGTCTGAAATTCGCTCATTTTCCTCACACGCAATATCGCTAAGCATGTACTGCTATGCCCGTGTTTTAACTGTATCAATCTTGGGTTATTAGCAAGTACACGAGTGGTCACTGCGGTCAGCAAAATCAGACTGCTTTAATTAACCAAAAAAACAACAAATGGCGGTCATTGGATATAAGCCGATAAGATGTTGTGGAGAACACTTCGGACGATTTGCTGGTAAGGAATCGGCGCTCTCCCCCGCAATACTCGGTTGTTATCTGCTGCATACACTTAAGCTGTAGGCTATTACCAGAATATATTCAAAACTAAATGAAGTGTAAATAATTGTTCAAAACTGGAGTAACCATTACAAGCAAATCCATGTCAACCCGTAGGTTTACTAGGGTAAAAATTGCATGACCAAAACATGGTGCCGATAGAATAACTAGCAATCGGTCAGACTCAACAGTAAGTTTGAAGTAACACATTTATGAGTATTCCTGCCTGGATTTTAAGATGATCCTGATACTCTCCATTGTTTGTTCTGCGCTAATGTCATCAAATGATGGCCAGGGGCTTTATCATGTAGTGTGTAACTGAGTCAGGGTATCGCCAATGCGATTTTTTTTAGAAGGATTAAGGTACGGGCGTTAATTAAATACGCCGGGAGGAAGTTTCAAGGCTGAAGCACAGAGGGGAAAATGTCTCGTTGACAGTCTAGTCGGCTGTACTGAGTGGCAACTCAAATGCATGACCCCTCAGATAAGTGTTTTGGCTGAGTTTCCAAGATGGTGGCATACGTAGTTAGGGTTGCTTGAGATCTAATACAACATAATTATACAGCTCCGTAGTCTATATCGTCCGCTGTATAGTTTTAGAGTTTACAGGATGAGTGGATAGGGAGGTGGGACATTCCTCAGACGTTCTTCATCACCCTGCTATGTACAGTAGGGAGCGCGGTAAAGTGGTGTTCTGCCAAGGTTGCGACGCTTGGATACCGTACTCAGCGTGCGACCTCAGGTACGTGTCAATCATTTGCGAACTGATTCAGACATCAATTTTCCGAATGTCCAACTCAGTAGGCTGAAGTACTCATTTGCTTTCATTGTTACTTTTACAGTCTGCCTCCAATAGCCAAAGTCATCTTATACGAGCACGCCAAAATCGACCCCATGAGAAGTCTGCTGTAGAATTTGTGCAACTAGTCAGCAGTTGTGACTATTCTGATGGCGCACGCTTAAGTTGTTGCACTCGGCGGCGTTAAACTGGAGAATGTTCTCCATAGACCATGTTTATATTTTTTCCAGATTCTCTGGTAGAGCCGTGTGATCATCTACTCTAGTGATAACACGCCATATTTTTTATATCATCGGCTAATAGTAAGAAATGTGGAGACAGAACGTTCGGGAGCTCATTTATGGAGACCAGGAATAGGCGGGGCCAGAATGCCAACCCCTGTTTGTCTGCACTGCACTTCGATTGATTCCGATTGGGTGCTGCGTATGTCCATCTTCAGATGATGTTGAACGAGAACGTCGCCTATCCAATCAGAACGGGATCGCCGATTCCATGATTCGGGTCGAACTTCTTCGAGAAATTTTGGTTGGCGGCATTCACTCCTACACAGCACCCACAGATTCTGCCCATCTTTCACGAGCACTCAACAAGTTAAGAGTATAGGACCGATTTTATCGAAATCCTTGCTGTTCGGGAGTAAGAATTTGCTTGCCCGCCAGGTACTCCATGAGTGTTTTAGCTACAATGGACTTCATGATTCTGGATATCACCGGAAACAGTATAACCGGTCGATGATTTCTGGTTCCGCACGGCGAACACACTGGTAGTTCGGTGTGAATATCCTGTGCTTGCACGTACTGGGGACTTGTATCTCATTAAAGTGCCATTGAACAGTTCATTTAAACCCATGGCAGCCGATTTCAGCGCCTTTGGACGAACGTCATCCTCACTAAAGGAGCTGTAATCGCACGAGAACATCAGACGCTTAAGTAAAGCTGCGGTTGTAAGATATATGTGGTTAAGCCCTGACGACGATATGATATGCGTAGGTAAGTTGTAAAATGATTGCACATTTTGGAAACTACGGATAAATTGTTGTCCGAGAAACCTGACTGCCCCTTGTGTCGTTTACGTCAATCTGCATGCTGTGCGCAGGGAAGATTTCGGCACCTAACCCGGCGAACTTTGTTTACATCTATGCATTGCAGCTAGAGATTAGAGCAGAATCATAGCACTAGATCTTATTGATACTTTACCCTATCCCCCCGGACGAGTTTGACTCGGTGATTTGAGTTGTATACACATCCAAGTTGTCCTCACTCGGAGTTGCCATGCTGGTGAGCCATGCTAACTCTCATTACCATGTATTTCTGAGTCCTGCTCCTTAGGAAAAATTTCATCTTTTTATGCCGGCGGATTCTGATTTGATGTGCTTGCTACGAGCCTGTTGACTCTGTTAACTGAGTCCTCGCAAGCCACCCCAGTGATCCATTCAGCTAGGAAAGACCAGGTTGTTGCACCAATGAGGTCGGACAGGTTATAAAATTTGGCAACGACGTGAGATTCCTCAGTATTTTCTTGAGGATACTCTGCGTAGCACATGGAGTGGAACATAATTGTCACGTGATCCCTGCTGCCGACAGGAGTGCACGTTGTTACCACGTCGACCATAAGTTTCTCGTGGGTAAAAATGAGGTCCAAATGGCCGATTTGTTTCGTGTCCTGAAAAGCACTGGATAAATCAAATGATTGTGCAGCGGTGAACCAGGGACCAGCTCTTGCAGCTTAGCCATGAATTGCTCATTTAGAGTGGCCGGGGTTTCTAGGCCCTGCAGATTAAATTTCTGTACCAGGAGAACGTGAGTGTAAGATCGTGCCAATAGGTTTTTCCTAGTGGTTCCTATGGCTTGGTGCATTCCTGATTTGGACATTGGCTGGCGATAAACAATGACCACTAAGCATTTATCGCCCTGCCTTAGATGTAGACATCACCATAAGGCGTCCACGCGTTAAATCTCAGTGTCGGTTACGCGATCGATGATTAGGTCGGAACGGTAACTACCGTTCCGACCTAAGTATTACACTGCGGCCCCTAGTAGTTCGGTCGCTGCGCCAGAGTGACATACCACCTAGTGGGATCTCGATGTCGGTAATCACATTGTTCAGCCATGTCTCGATTGCCATACTGTGGTTGCCATATTGTGTTGAGACTTGGCGAGATCCACGCTTGGTCAATTTACTGAAAAGGTGATACGTGCTTTTATAAAAACCATTGAAAGAAACGGATACAAGAAGCATAACTAAACACACTAACTTTTGCGACGAAGTTACGCAGACCCGTGTGGGGCAGGCTGACAATCGTGTTTTATGTGGTGGGTTTCGTGTGGCTCTATCCCATCCCTGAAATAAACGACCGACGGTTTCGTCCTGGTTTGGACTCACCAGGTATGTTTTCTGGCCTACCTCTCCGAACCGTTTCGGGTTGCTGCATAAAGCCCACACCAACAAACTTTCAGAAGTGATGTGCAGCGGATTGCCAGTTTCTTCCTCACGGAACGGCTCTGGAGTTGCACAGCGCTTCGGTTCACAACTGCAGACTGCTGGGCTCGCGATATAATCTCGCTGGTTTTGTATTTTTATAGCTAATGATGGGCAGACCTCGATCGCTTCAGACGTATTCATGATGGCGATTGATTCTTAATCTGTGCCATTTCCGAGTACCCTTACAAATATTTGTTTGGAGTGGGGCAGGACCTTAAGCACACTTAGGCCAATTTCCTTTTAGTTTGCTGATATGGGTAATCATATGGTTTTATTAGCAGTCACCTCGTGGCGTATCATGGCTTCACTGATGTTGCGCCACTCTTTCAAGTCATGAGTTTGGGCAGATAATCCATTGCAAGTCTGGATTTCAAGTACGCCATGGCGAAGCATTGATCTTTCATCCTTTGCCTGCACTCACTCCTAGGGTTGTCAGGGACTATACGAAAATCGCGTGAAAAATCATGGCGACCGTCAGCTGACAAGCTAGTGGTCTTTGCTTCCTTACCCGACTGAAATGTTACCTGAAGTAAGTGTTAGGAAGGAATACGCGATCCGAACAAGCCAGGACACCATCGCCATGGCAGGTGATCTAAACTCATACGCCCTGAATGGGGCGAACAGAGAACCGATCG